ATTACCATATAGATATAATATGAATTTATATAGAAAAATTAGTTGTCAAACTGTATTAGGAAAAAGAATCTTCATACATAGAAGTTAACAAAATTGACTAAATCTTTTACCAACATGCAATAGATAATAATCATGCACATGAATTCCACATATACAAAAATCAAAGATAGAGCTAATATGTGACAGATTCAAAAGACATAATTAATACGTGAATAATATGTGACAAAATTGATTGTATATGAATCAAAAGATATGAATTGATGTGTACAAATTATACATACAAACGTGAATTATAATTAATATGCATATCAACGAAAAGTAGAGAAGAAAAAACAACCTCGTTATGATACATATGTACACCGAAAGAATTCACATGCCACCAAATTAATTTTGATATACGTGACAGATGATTGTACTTGTAAAAATTATTACTTTCTAACTAATTCACTTTGCTTTTAAGAGAATCGTGATGATAACATGTTGTGGAAAAAGAGAAAAGAGAGAGAAGTCAATATACTTGTATGTGTTTTATTAAGAACAAAAACCCTATATTTATAGGCCAGAATCAGAAATACAACGCTAATAATTTTTAGGACAACAATGGTATAATTGTCATTCACTTGTAAACCGTAATAAACTTACCATTTACAACATATTAAGGATATATTGTAAATAGATAAATTTATATCTCAATAAGCTTCCATTTGGAAAATTTATAAAGCATCTATCGAGAAGAAAAGTAGGGGGTCCAAAGAAATGCATGGATGAGTAGTAATTATAAATGTGTGATTAAAATTAATATTTGATCTCAACTGAATATATAAACTACGTAAAAATTGGTTGCCAAATGGAAGCTTAAACTTTTAAATAAGCTAGTTCGACAAATTTTCCCCCTCACATTAGCTTTTTCAAACTGTTATAGTCACAAAAAGAGATACATTAAAAGCTTCACTTCTAGCAAGGTTAACATGCTTTATGATTTTTATCTTTTTATCATCTAAGCTACTATTTGCAAATTTATATTGTCCTTTGTGTTTTAGGTGTTGAGATATTCAACAATAAATACTAGTTCCGCACTACCAACTACCCTCAAGAATCAAAACAAGAGTTCGTGCATCTTTAAAATCATATTACGCGTTATTGGTACGTAATATTAAATAGAATTGAATATTATAGCTCATGTTTGGTTCTTATTTTTTAAAATTTATTATTTTAACCACACATTTAACGAGATTCATAATTTTTATTAACTTTTTAATCACATATTTCATCAACTTCTATCAAAAATCTAATTTTTACCTAAACCAAACCGGAGTACAATGAATAGAATTTTAATTTCTCTTTCTTGTTTAATATTATTCGGTAATGTCAAATCATCCCTACTAGACTTATGGGATTAGTATTATTACTCTTGCGAGTTTAATAGATAAATAAGTGCCTATTACTAGTTAGCCTAATGTCTGTAAAATTTGTTGTTGCACACCGTGCACGACAGAATAATTATCTAGTATTAATGAAACAAAGAGACGTTCACTTATAATGTTGGAAAAGAGATTAAACAAACAAAAACAAAGCCGCTTAAGTAAAAATAAAAAATAAATAAATCACCAGATACACTCTCGTAGCTAATATTTGCACTTTCAAAACATGTTTGACACATTAAATTGACTAAAACATAGAGACAATTCTTTGAGTTAAACTATGTTAAGTCCAAAACAAGCGAGTATTGATAGGTCACAGGTGTGCAAGGTTGAGATATAAACATGGTATCCACCAAAAGCATGTGCCTTCACCGCAGTTGAATATGATGTCTTTAGGATTGGACAAAATACCCAAACCGAATTGAGATTGAACTGGACCCGACCTGGCCCCATCTAAGCTAAATTGAATCAAATTGAGCATTTCTTATTAAATTAAATACCCGAATGGATATTTAAATCGAAAATAGTTCGATTCTCAATTCTAGACCCATAACCGAATAATCGAATAAGAATTGAATCTTTCTAATTTTTTAATTATTTATCTTAAATAAGCAAAATTATTTTATTTTTTCTAAATAAATTTGCTGACGAATTAATTTAGCCTAAACCCAAAATGTGATTTTCCTATTTTTTAATTTTCAGTCAAAGCCAATTTAATCAAATCGATCTAAGTTTTACCCAAATCTATTATTTTAACTTGGTGTCGTTGCTACAGTTATGGAGAAATCAAATTGGAAGTTCGACCACGCTTCTCTTCATTATTTTAAACTCGCTATCTTTCTCTTCCTGTGATTTAATAATCAAATTTATGAAGAATTCAACCAAATGAAAATGCAAAAGATACATAAGATTAGACTATGTTATTTTGTAAGAACTAAAAATAAACATATCATTATTTGAATTAATACAGCGTTGTTGTAAATAATAAAAAATTTAGTTATTATATGAAACTTTGGAACCGGTAGGAACCGGACTCGAACGGTTCCATAATTAAATTTGGACCCGACGATTCCTCTTACTAAATACTTGAAAATTCTAGTTCCAATTCGAGGTGGTTCGAACTGTACCATATCCAGCTCTAGATGTCCCAAATCTGGAGAGAGTAGGGTGGTTGATTGTTGAACCATCAGCACGTGCCCTCGATATTGTATACAACCTAATTTTACTTACCAAAATATCCCACAACTGTCGCAAAGTAATTATAATTGTGTGACATTTATTTTATTCCCATTAATTGTTCGAAGTTTTGTTTCTAAAATGGAGGATTAAGCTTAAGAAGAAGCGAGGAATTAATTTTCAAAAAAAAAATAAAAATAAATAAATAAATAAATAATAATAATAATAATAATAATAATAATAAAATACATGAATAGTGTCTTGTAATTTTAATTGTACTAGAAGGATTTTCTAGAGGAAGGTTTCTCTAGAATTCGTAGATGGCAAAACGACTTTAGTACATGTGAGAGAGGACTAACTATCCCATTTGAATTAGATTGTAATAGATGAGCCGATGACTTATCATGGCTAAAATGTCCCGAATTCGATGTAAGAACAAAGTGACATTTTATTCACTCCTATATTATCATAGATAACATAGGAACTCATGTCTCCGACATGCCGGCAGTTACTATACCTGGCCACTAGTAACTATGTCACGGTCGACGTGTAACCACCATAGGCGTGAGATAAGCATGTAACTGTCCACAGACAATGACTCTCTACACATAAGAGTGCATAGCTTTGAAGTCGAGAATGTCACGGAAAGTGGTTTGCTAGGGAGTAGCTCTTGATCAATCTTGACCTTCAATTCTTGGGATTATTTCCCCAGCGATGATAAAACTCCGATGGATGAACCAAAATTGTGTTGGGTTTGTGACCCAAATTAGGGTGAATTTTTATTTTTGAAAATAAATTGTTTGCTTATTTTCATGTTAGAAAATTTGTTTCCTTATATTTCACGTGATTTTTATAGAAATATATTATTTTCTTATTCCACATTATTTCCATCTTTATGCTATATCATTTACATATAAATAATGATCTTCTCTTTCAGTTTTGTTCAAACAAGAATTGTTGAGTTTTTATATTTCTCTCCATATTGTCGATTAATAAAACATTGTGTTTCTGCGATTTCTATTTGTTAATTTCTTTACTTTTAAATTTTTTTTCTCGTTGCGATTTTCATTACTTCATATCGCATCATTTAATCTCATTCACTACAATCCCTCCGGGTCCAACAAACTTGTCTCATGAGGTCATTTCTTTTGAAGTTGTCATCTATG